CAAGTTGTAGCAGACGTTCATGAGCAACATACACAAGAGCAGTCACAAAAACATGCTATAATGCGAAAAGTATTAAGTAATGCTGAACGCCAAAAACTATTTCGTGCTAAAAAAGGAGCATTAAGTAATAGATCAATTCAAAGTAGCTTTCATCAACTACGAACTAGTGCTGAACGTCAAAGATTATACAAAGCAAATAAGAAATTACGACTGAAAAATACAGAAACTCAAGAAGAAGAGTTTACACAAACCCAAGAAGAGCAATATGTACAACATCTCGTTAAAGAATGATAAATGTTGCAAATAAAAAAGATATTTTACATTCAAAAGGAAATTAAATTAAATTTTACCTATTCCTGATCCATTTACAAATTATTAGACTAACAAGAATATTAAAATTATAAAATAAAATCATTATTGCCATMATGCGTTAAACAAGTTCAATATTTTATGATTTCTATAAATATATGAAGTTATCACTTCTGTCGAGCTTCCCGTGTAGCACACCATTTTTTTATTGGTTGGTGCAGTCATAATTATCTCGGTAACTGTTAAGTTAAGTTTTGCACATGTTCCTGAATAATACTTACGGTTTTTCCATTTGAAAAAAAATCCGAAAAATTCGCATTTACAAATTAAAATTGACTGATGCGAGCTTTTTTCTAAAATCAATCCGTGGATTATTAAAAATTGGTGCACCCTGTATATGAAAATGTGGGTAGTTTTATTAATAAATATCTCATAGACTAAAAAAGCACTTAGTCATTGACTGATTAAAATCGATCTTCATCGGTATTTCTTACTTTTTGATGTTCGCTTTAAATTGGATAAATATTGCTTCTTTGAAGGTATAAATTGAGGTTCTTGTGGATTTGGATAAAGGTTTCGTTTTAATGTTATCAGCGTGATCTTCTCGTGTCTTCTGATACCATTGAATTCGTTTTTAGAAGAGTTTTGTCTTTGATTTTTCAGCCTCCAGTTTGTGGAGGTTCGTCCGGAACCCGACCTCGACGTCAAGCAGGATCGGAAAACGCAGACTCGGAAGGTACTCCAGCTACCATTGAAGTATACAGCGGCCTCTATGTAAATGAAGCTAACGACCTCGCCAAAGCTGGCCAAGATGATGACTCTGTCTTCAGCGAAAAGGTTCGTAGCTTTTTTACAGTTTTTTTCTCATAAATGTGTTTTTTTTTACCAGAGCCTTATTCTTGCCTGTCTCCTCGTAAAAAAACTGCGATAATTGATTGTTCTTTAAAAACAAAAACCTATCGCCATTTCAAAGTTGCCTTAAGTTAATGAGAGTTAAATCAAAGTTGACCAAAATGGCAAATGCAATGTATATAAATTTATTGACTTAATCATTATGGCCTTTTACTTTTTTAATATATTTATATTCTGTTAATTGTGTTCTTTTTTTGGTTGTTTGGTTTTATGAAAGCCTTGATAACGAAATATGCAAGTCTTAATAATAAATTAATAAAAAATACAAATGAATAATTAAACTAAAATTCAGTTGGACAATAATTGATAAACGAAAAATAAAAATTCAGTTGGACAATAATTGATTTTTTAAACATTTTTTGCTATAAAATTGTGATTTTTCATTCAAAGATTCAATGTTTAAAACACGATTTTGGTAGGACTAAAATGCGTTTTTTTAATTTTTTTCACTTTTGTTTCTCATAATAATAACATGGCAAACTATGGGAGTCGAGAGTGCGAGACCCTTAGAACCGTTTTTATCAAGCTTATCAGCTTTTACCAGCTGAGTTTAGCCTGAAATTTTCACTTCGTATCACCCATGCATGAAATGTTTGCCGATGTTTTGCAAGCCACTCGTACTTCAAGGAAGAAATTCATACAAGGGCGAAATAAAGTGCATATTTCGAGAGTGATATTTTCAGGCCAAACCACGCCGACTAGAACCGATAAGCTCGAAATCTATACACACTTGATCACAATTTTTTCACTTAAAACTGGCATTTTTGTATGTAAAAATGTACAATCATAACAGCAAAGTCGTTTATGTGAATATATTTAGGCATTTAAGCCGAATCCAACTGAAGATCATTGTAACAAAAATAAAATACAGAAATAAAATGAAAGTAAAATCTTTAAAGCTAGTGAAAGTAAAATGGCAAAACGCAGCAACAGATTTTTTATAAAATAGAATTAAATATTGCAATAAAATTGTGATTTGTACAAACAAGAGTTTAAAAAATCACTACTTTCGACGAATTCATAGAAGCGTAAATACCGTACGCTCATAATAACATACCAACGAAAATGATAAATATAATAACAATAATGATAATAGAGCATTAAATGAATAGATGGATATTAATTTCAAAGGTTTTCCACGAGGAAACAACTGTAATAAATTAAAAATACATACGGCAGTAAGATACGAAATTACTCATCTCGTATTTGATATTCATTACACGTGATTCGTTACTATTAAATAATGATTTTTAAATAAGAATGAACGGATGCGTTCTTGTTGAATGCATCGTATTCATTGTGTTTTTACGGTTGGTGACTCTAACTGAACATCTTTCCTTCGCTATGAATGTGCCTACTTGGTATTCATCGTAAAAGGGTTTAAAATGTGACTTCCTTTCTTCTCCTCGTACGAATCATGTAGTAAAATGGCGGTTTCTTAGAAGAGTGTCATGCTAATTCAATAAATTGAAGTACAGAAAATAATAACAATAATATATGTACGATAAAGAAAATCAAAAGAATGAAAATGCAGTTGCAGCTAATTAACAAAATTAACGTACCATAAGCGCAAAAGCTCCTGTTCTTATACCGCAAAGCTTTAAAATTAATCTCGGTTATGAATTTGTTACTTAACGGTAAATGCGAACATTGGAAGATGACGAGCTATTTGTCTCCGGATGACCACGATGATGTAGTTTTCAGTACCCAGAATGGTATAAAAAGAAACGTAACTGTACCATTGAAATGTCGGTTTGCATGAATTTCTTGTTAAACGATGGCAAATGAACCGTGCAGATACATTTCTGGTTCATCATCGAACAGCTTAAGAATCCTCAATGCATTTCTTTTAATAGATTTTTTCTTGGATTAATTGGATATTTGACYAGCACTGAATTTCAAAAAACCAACTGCAAAATTACGAGAATAGGTACAGTTAATTTGTGTTTAAAAAAGTTCTATAATTCTATTATGAAAGTTTCTTTCATGGCGATTTTCTTTGTTACACGCTAGCGCTGTAAACTAATCTAGTGCAGGGTTTTGCAAATKTTTTTACAATGGAACACTTTGCAAACCSAKAATWTTTTTTTAGTTCTTGATCTTGAWAGCCGACAGAATATAAAAAAAATTGTTGAATCAGTCGGGCAAACCAAAGACGGAACAGATGAGAAAATGTTCTGGAATCCTGAATAATTCTATTCATAAAAATTATTAATTTTGTTTTTTTTAGTATCCCGATGATGCAATCTGCATATCCCAAAGGAGTTTCGCAATTGGAATTTGCATCGCCGGTTTAATTCTTATGCTGTGCGTGGTGGCCGCTATTTTGTGTCTTTTGGCGAGACGACGAAAGAAAACTGTGTCGAATCCTGGAAGTTCCATTTACAGTGGACCATACACTAACACCGCTTACAGTCACAGCAGCTAGAAGATCATCGAGTTAGAATAGTGTTGCTCCTTTTTTATTTGTGTTGATGAGGGCGTTTACTTCCTACTTGCCATATACGAAAAATCAACCACCTTCTTTCTTGATCAATGTAGTTTGCAAAATTACTTTAGCAAATACTAATCATCCTTAGATAGAAACGTGCCATCCAAGGCTTTCCAGTCAAAGTGCTCATATATCAACTTAACTATTTTAATGATTCCTGTTATTTCTAGGTAAGAAAATTGTCTCATTGCTATTTAGAGAAAATTCACCAGAAAAAAACCATTTTCTTACCACTGATTAGCTTAGTAGACTTCAGGAGTTTTCTGCAATAATACTCTGGTATTTAACAGGGTTCGGTGATGGTATATTTATGACATAACATAAGGATGTATCAACCTAAGATCAATCCCGACTTCTTCCTGTAGCTCAACTTTAGCAGTTCCAGAGAAGACAAAAAATCCGGTTTGGTCTTTCGTTGAAATGAACCGTAGTTTTAACCGCAAATGGATTTCGAAATGTTTGTCCGAGTGATCACATTTCAAATGCATTTTAGATCTTGAATCACAGCGGCATTGTTTAATCACTAACAATGTAAATATGCACTATCGGAAAATGCAGCTCTGGTTCTCGATCACTCTAATGTTAAGAGAGAAACGATTTTATACTTAACGGCGCTTTACTTAAATTTGTAACTCCAACTGTAACATCGAAGTATATACATTATTTATACATTTTGTGCGTTTTATTATTTCATTTGTGGCGCGGTGAACAAGTGAGAGTGTTAGTCATTTTAGAGTGTAGGTATAGTTTGATCAACTGAAAAATCTGCGTGGTTTTTTTTTTAAGAAATTAAACTTTTGTGCAAGTCAACAACTTTAAAGGTGTTTCAGGAAAGTTATTTTGTTACAACTTCTATACATCACATTAAGTCAACCCTTCAAATAAACTGTTTTGGTATAAAAAAAGTACGAAACTTATCTGGTAACTAAAACTAGTTTCACAGCAAAACCGGCTGTTTAAATACTGGCCAAAGAAACCGGTCCAAAAGATTCGCATTAATTTTCAATTTTGCGTGAAAACAACAAACATTTCTAAAATGATTTTTGGTATAAAAAAGTACGAAATTGAACGCTTTATCTGGTAATAAGAATAAGAGCGGTTCAGAAAACGCTCATTAATAGTTAATTTTAAGAAGTGTACTCATTGTCGAAAGTTATAAAATAAAAAACTACTTTAAAATACTGTAAGCATTTGAGTCAACACGATGATGAAGAAAATATGGCACGTTCTGGTATTATGAAAAAACTTGTTTACACACTTTGTGTTTGCAAACTGATCGCTTCTTTGTAAAATTTATCAGAACTTACAACGTACTCAAAGACCACTGCAAAAAATATGGAATATCGTCCTATGATTTCTAAAGAGATAAGCGGAAGATCTAAATTCAATTGATTTGTGGATCTGAAAATAGTTTAACATACAATTGCTGGTAGGCAAACACCTCATTACAATTTAAAAATTTAGATCAATAAAATGTAATTTCCTAAATTTCGCCTTATTAGTTTAAACTTGTGTTGGTGTTTTGCAAGTGTATATTTCCAGATCAATTACATTCTTCCAGGATTGTTTGAACCAACAGGATTTCCTATTGAGATAGGATTTAAGTCAGTGGAAGATTCGCACATTGCAGGAATTACGCACTAACAAACTGTAAAATCAATGTTCAAATATTTCACATGTCTTCTCCTGGTAAAAAACGCCTTCAGCAAATTAAAGAAAACATCTGAATTAGACAAAAAAAATAACGTTACTGCTTTTATTAATTTAAATAAATGCACGTAACATTTTTTCATTTACAAGCGCCTTAAGCAATGCTACTAGCATTCGACGCTATCCTAGGCCAAAGATCTGCGCATTCTTTAGCAACTGGTCCGGTAATAGCTGATCCTTTCATCTCGCCCTTTGCATTGACTATCACCCCAGCGTTGTCCTCGAAGTAAATGAAAACACCATCCTTCCTGCGGAATGGCTTGCGCTGCCGGATGACGACTGCAGGCATGACCTTTTTCCGGAGTTCTGGCTTTCCCTTCTTCACGGTGGCAACGAGCATGTCACCTGAACCAGCCGCTGGTAGTCGATTCAATCGACCACCAATTCCCTGAACGGCGATTACATATAAATTTTTGGCTCCTGTAACAAAAATAAATTACTTTACTTGCTGAATTGATGTTAACAGAAAAAAATGTTGCTTCCTAGTTAAGACAACACGAACAGAACGCAAGGAAAGTTGTTGGTAAAGGGTCAATGTAGCTAGGATCTTAAACTAGAAAATTACCAACATTCAAGCAAATTGCGTTGCAGAACTGAAAGTGTAGTTTAGCACTTGTGTGTTTCCTCACATATGGCAAAATAATGTTAAAAATAATGCTCTTAACATTTAAGTTGAGAAAAACACCAGTCATTCTTTGCTTCACTAGTAAGTGTAGTGTTTGGTCTAGTGCCATCAACCGGAGCTACTTGTTCTGAAGATGCTAGCTTTGAGTGCGAGCGAAACGCCAATCATTTCTCTCCTCTAACGAAAGCGAAAATTCTCAACCAACATTGTAGGCTTGATTGTGTTTCAAATATATGAAAATGTCTTGCACTTTTCAGTCAAGATTAGCATTACTATTTTACATTTAGTAATAGACGGAATTTGGGGTTAAGAATAAATGGACGCATGTTTAATAGGTGTCAATAGGAAGAAGTGCAAGCATTCTGAGTTAAATCAAATCTGCTTACATGTGGGGGCTCGTCGGCTTTTGAAAGTAGTTTCTAAAAGCAACTTGTAATTGTAAATGGAAACTTACCAGTGTTATCGGCGCAATTAATTACAGCTCCTACTGGCAAAGCCAGGGAAATTCGGAACTTTGCTCCCGCGGAACCACCACGTCCTGAAAAAAGAAACAGTCATAACAAACATTCAAAAATCGTACAACTAAAACTACATAACTCACTGACCGGGCTTTTAGTTCTTTACAACAATATTTGAGTAATTTAATATTTTCTTTAACGATTAACAATATATTTTAAGATTATTACAAGACTTGCAAAACTTACCTCTCTTCGACATTTTTGTTTTCTGAAAGAGAGTGAAGTTGGCGTGAAATTGAATTCTAGAATGTCAATCAATCACTACTGTCGAAAACGAAGCAAAAGTCCCTACAATTTTTCCAATGCTGCCAAATCTTTCATCTGCTGCTATGGAACACTGGCGTTCACACATGAAACACCCTCATTGTATTTTATTGATTATTTTGAACGTTTTAACTTTGAAAAGTTGGCTAGCAATCAAAATCAGGAGTAATAAGCATATTCTATGGAAACCTAGGAAATTCCAATAAGTCTAAAGTGGTAGAAAATTGCATTTACCGGCAAAATACTACTCAGGAACATCGCTAGCATATTGAATGCGACGGCCTAAGAAACTAGAAAATTATCCGAACTCGTCGAAAAATATGCGACATTTGAAACAAATATTTTGAATTTACACGATAATATTTGCCTATTTAATATAACGCCATAAAATCTCCCATGCTTTGAAGAGAGACACATCCACCTTATTGGAGTCTCTTTTGCACCCAACAAATTCTATTAAAGAGAGAGAAATTTGGTTATGTTCTTTCACTGTTGATTATATAATGAAGTTTGTTTATGTTCGACTTGAATTTTTATATATTTGAGTTTCAAATTCCTATTGCATATTAAGAATGCCATCTCCGTTAATCGACAGAATATCCATCGAATTGGGAGGTAAACATACTATTTTATTTGCCATTTTCCAATCCATTAAATCATTTTATTTGCTGGACCACAAGGATGCAACGCATAAAGTACTAATTATGTGGTCAAAATAACTAAATTTGACTTAAACGCAAGCATTTTAAACCGAGTATAGCTCAGCAGAATGAGCCCTAAGTTCCCAAAAGAAGTTGAGACCAATTTGTCCTTTCATGCAGCAAACTATGACATTTGGTTGTATATTCTATAAAGTTCAAGTAATTTTTACTTTTGCGACTAGCTAACCACATAGTTTAATATGCTTTCAGCTCAAGAACCATGGCCGAAAGATGTAAAGTTATTCCAGCCCTATGAAGTGGAACAGATTCTTTTGCCAGACAACGCAAACTGTCTGGCAGTCCAGGCGTTTTTGAAAATGTGCAATCTTGACTTCCAAGTTGAGCCCCGCGCGAATGCCGAAGACATGTCGCCCACCGGCAAAGTGCCATTTATTAAAGTGGGAAGATTTGTTACCGCTGAATTGGAAGGAATTGTACAATTCGTTAATGGAAAGGATATTTCCTTGACTGATAAGCTGGATAATGAACAAAAGTCGGATCTAAGGGCTTATATGTCGTTGATCAAGAATGTAATTGAAGTTGCAGAGGTAAGATTTACAGTTGACTCGGTTATTTTCCATAACTTGGCGCGTGCCGTGCTACTAACTATGAATTATGTACTTTTATCATTTTTTGTAAGCCTTTGCATTTCAGTCTTGTTATTGAAAAGTTCCTCTACGATTAAATATAAGGCTGGGAACTTAAAACTAAAATATTTTTTAGCTTTACTACTGCTGGAACGACCGCGAAACCTATAACGAAGTGACGAGCGTTCGTAATGGTTCAGTATACCCGTGGCCTTTAAATCACATTAAAAACATCGAGAAAAAACACCAAGTGGTCAAAAAACTTAAAGTACTCGACTGGTATCACAAAACCATAGAAGAAGTACATCAAGAAGTTCAAAGTTGCTGTGAAGCTCTAAACGTTCGTTTGGATAACAAACCATATTTTTTTGCCGAAGGGTAAGTGAACTTTTTATCGTTCTGAACATTGATTATCCAATGACGATTTGTAGACCCACCGAACTGGACGCGTTGGTGTTTGGCCACTTATTTACCATTTTAACCACTCCGTTGACTAGAAAGGATCTTGCTAAAATTGTACGTAGGTATCCACCTCTCATTGATTTGGTGAAACGAATTGAAATTGATTATTTCAAAAAGGAATCTGAACATTTTTGAAGTAAATATATCCATTTCATTGCTTCATTTGTTAAACAATATTTTGCTTTTTTGCAATAAAAGTAAATGAAACTTTGAGCAGTGGCCTAAATATTGGAAATGCTTGCAATTAAATAAGTAAAACATTTTCTAATTAATCGTCCCTAGAAAATTTAGAGAACAATGTGCCGTTATTAATAATACTATATGAAAATTTAGATCTTTACTCTTTCACTGTCATTGACTGTCCTTATCTAATCATACAAACGCATAATGTCAATCTCTGTCTCATTTTAACATTAACCTCACTGTTCACTTCAGTTGTGTTTACCAAGGAGTCACGAAAATAGTTTATATTTTTATAAAATTATGCTGGTTTTAAACCGCATCAAACAACTTTCAAGTGTGACATTCGCTAAGTTTGAAAGAAATTATCACAATTTCAATCCTCGTCTTAAACCAAACTCGCTAAGCGCAGTTTTGTATAAAAGTTTTGTTTCCCAAAGATTTCATCCGAATACCTGCTGGAAATGTGGTTTAGAACGGAAAAGTGTAGCAGGATTATTTTGTGATCAGTGCAAAGTACTACAAACTCCATTGGAAACCAAAAATTTTTTCAGGATATTTAATTTAGACGAGAAATTTGATATTGATGCTAAGGAATTGCGTATGCAGTACAGGAGGCTTCAAGCTCAGTTGCATCCGGATAAGTTCACTCAGAAAACCGCTGAAGAAAAGGAAATATCTGAGTCATTTTCATCATTAGTAAACAAAGCCTACAACAACCTGCAATTTCCCTTAAAAAGGGCTGAACATTTACTAGAATTGAGAGGTGACCAGCTGAATGAAAAGGAAAATGCTGTGGACGATCCGGAATTTTTAATGGAAATGATGGAATTGAACGAAGAACTCGAAAACACAACCAACGTGGAAAAGCTCAAGGCACTCAATATTAAAAACAGAACTCAGCTGGAGATTATCACTAAAAATATCGATGAATGCTTCAAGGAAAACGATTTGAAACAAGCCAAATACTTTGTCATAAAAATGAAATACTATACAAGCTTGGGAAATAGGATAAATGCCATTTTAAGGGAATTAGGAATAGTTGATTAAGGAAATTGTGAACGATTCAAAAGCGGGCTAAGTTGCAATGACTATTAACTGGACATGAATAATGTGATATAATTAAAACCAAAATAATTATTTTATTTGTATACAAATTGGAGGCCTATTCTTACTTCAATCCCAAACTGGAGGCCTATTCTTACTTCAATCCCAAACTGGAGGCCAATCACTGGCGTGAACAATTACCTTACAACTAGCATAACAAATATTTACAGTTCCATCACAGAATCATCTCATCGCTTTTATATTAACTTCACTTCGATTCACCAACTGTTCTGCCTCAGCTTATAGGTAGTATTGTCACTTCGAATCACGTCGATTCGAGCCCCGTAATATGGGATAACATAAGCTGACCCATCGGCAGGCCCCACTACTTGTGAAGCAATTAATATAATATCAATAAACTGTCCAATGAATAGGAATCCCAACGTGCAGAATTTTGCCAGTCCTATTGCAGGGTATCCTAAGTAAAACCTATCAATTCCAAACATTCCTAGGAAAATGGATAGTAGAAGAGAAGTGTCGTAGTGATATCCGTTCCTGCAATGTGCAAGGTATGTGAGATGACATACGAAGGTGATATGTTGATAAGCCGCAATTGGGTAAAAGTTTCAAATAGCAGGATATAACATACTTTGAATATGAAGAATTTCCAGTAACGTTTAGATCTAGATTGTTTGCCTAGTGCAAGTTGTTCTCTGGGTATTTTTCAAACCGAAAAGTGTACTTACGTCCATCTGCAAGGCATTTCCTTAGTAAAGGTGCGATTCTTGGTGCCTTCACAGGCCAGTCCATCAACAGCCAAACACTTGACTAATCAAAAAGTGCCAGGGTAGTTAATGCGTCAATTGTTACCTCCAAACACTCTACAAACCTTTAGCTTTTCCTTCTTTTGTGCAACCCCTAATCTCCTGAGTTACGGGATCAATCAGATCATATGAAGGATCTGGACATAGGAATTGCCCCATTCTCAACGTGCTGCAGTTTACAATCTTCGATTGTATCAAGTCATTTACCTTATTATCTGTGCGATATAGGGGTAATAGGGAGAAACATACAAATATTACCAAATAAGCTTTGGACATTTCAAAACAACTAGGCCTGGTGAATAGTGCAGGGCCCTGATTGGGCATTGTCGTTCAACTACATTGAGGCTAGATTTCAAATGTTTGTAAAAGTGATTTATAAATATGCTGCATATTATTCATTTAATAAAAACTGAGAAATGTTTAAACTGACAGCTTTTGATTGTATTAAAAATTATAACCAATGACCAACCTGTCAGTCGGGTTTCGAAATGTTTTACATATAAAAAATAGATGAACACTGAATGTTTTATTTAAGTCCAAAGGGAAATCAGGCTAGTGAGCCACTTAATTTTGCAACTGCAAACAGCCAATATTTCGAAAAATCCGTCATTATCAAATGTAACTTTCCACTTGACAGCAAGAAAGCACAAAATATTCCCCCTGGGGGTATGATCTGTGGAAAGAAAGTTTTGACCACAGAACATCTCTGCACAGAGATGTTCTGTGGTTTCGACTGGCAGAATGACCCTGATCTAACCTAAACATCTGCAAATAACAACAACAGAAACACACAAACAAGAATAAACCATAATAAGTTTAGTTTCAGTTAGAGTTTTAGTTTAGTAAACTGTACTACCTAGATGTAGTTTGGAGAGCCAACGCAAAAGGGAGGTAACATCAACGCACTGGCTACAAATGGCAATTTACTGCAGCAGGAGCGCTTCCTTGTACCCTTCAACACTTCTAATTCTAGCACTTAAAAAATTACAACCCTGTCCGTGTTTTCACCTACATCAGCCCGCTAAAGACGAACCAGGAGTATTGGATGAATTTACTTCCCAGTTAGTGCAGCGACAACGGTCCAAATGGCAATATCGAACTAGTCTTGCTCAATCCAACATCAAGCAGATATCAATTGAACGCGTTGGAAACTCCATAAAAATCCTTCACGATGTGAATGCTCTACTACAAAACGCCATTAACTCTAGTGATAGTGCTGCAATAGGAGATTTAACCAACCACTGCATTAAATATGACAAGGCCCCTTTTCTACCGGTGCTCATCGAAGCCCTATCTGTGTGTTCTCGTTGTGGTGACAAAGACGCAATAGTAAAAATTGTACAGCTCTTTGAAAAAACCAGGCCAGAGTTTTTACACGAGTATTCCAACTTTGAACACTACAAAGCTGAGGCAATTTGGATTAAAGGCGACATCACAAAGTCACTGACTATTTTTGAAAAGGTTTATAAGGAAAACGGATTTTTGAGACCGAAAGTTCGGTGAGTGGTTACAACAAACAAATATATTTAGTCTCTAAACTGTGGCTATTTATAGGAGTACTCTAAAGCACCTAATTCGTAATAGCATAGCAAATCATAGTGAAGCCACTCTAGTAAACCTTCTACACTTCTCGGAGATGCTTGCTGAACAGTACGACGACTACTTCGCCTTAGATTGTCTTTGGCAAGCTTGCATGCTCAGTGAATGGTTTTCAGGCATGTAGCAAACACATCAAACTACTAAAATAGTTGATAATGCGCTTTTCAGATCACCAAATTGCCTTAGGCCTGTTGGATAAGTACGAGGGTCTCTGCAGTATAATTGTTAATAAAATTCCCTTTATAGTAAAAGTATCCTTAAAGCAAAACCGAACTGGGGTTGTGCACACTCTTATCGAGGTTCTGCTGAGGTTTAAAATGGAAGCAGAACTTTGCCAAGTGATGCTCAGTCTAATAGATTATTGGAGTAAGTTCTCATAATTCCTAGTAAAAAAGAACACGGTTACAGAAGCCTTTTTGGATTTGCAGTTCGGATGGGCGATTATCGTCAATGTAAGGAAGTTGCATCCTGGTCAGTCCGGAATGATGTAAAACTTCCCGCTGTATATAAAAATAAAAAGCTAATGAAACTCCTAACTGGGGACATTAAGCAAACGGAAGACATCTTCGAAACCAAAGCAACCAAACCAATCCCCAAGGACTTCACGTTTTAGTCGCCCAAAAGGTAAAATAAATCAATTTTCTGGTATACCTAGTATAATTGTAAATAAATATGTATATCACAGAGTGGTTTAGACGCTATTAGGAGCTGAAAATCCTCCTCATACAACGGTTATAGGTGTGTAGTTCCTGATCCTATGTTGGTTTTGTCTGGACTATCAGGAGTTAAAACTTCTGAGTTTGTCTTCCTGTTGAGTCGCACATACATGATTCTAAAATGGCGCCACAAACAATTTAAATCTGTTTTTTATCAGGACCAAAATAACGAAAATATCTTAATGATAATCAAGAAATTTAATCATGTAGTCAAAACTAGTATCTAACAGATTATTTTAAAGGACATATCAATGAGGAAAACTATCTGATTACGATTTAAACCCATCCTTGTGGAATTTACGCGATAATTGACTGTCCAGAATCTTGGAGCAAATTAAAACCGCATTAAAAGTAAGAGTAATGAAATATCTAATAATGTAGGTATACTTACATGATAAAAATACAGCTGATGCCATAAAGCAGGATGCTGCAAAAGAAAAAGGCTGCAGGAAAACTGTGGAAGGTTTCCATGTAAATTATTTTGTTGTAAATGGGGACAAAAAGCGCAGGAGCCAAAACATCGCATATTCCTAATAGCGACTGAGCTTTCCCCACATCGTTTTTGCTCACTATTTTCGTGGCTATGGATTTCTTTGCTGTCCTGTAAACTCTCGTCACTATGCTAACAGCCACTCCTAAACACAGTTTTTGCTTTTGTATTCCTGCTGTTTGAACTTTCCCATCTAAAGCTTACCGGCGTAAAAGACACGAGGGCCAGTTGCCAGCCCAAAAAATAAATTCGTCACAATCTTGTCTATTATAGCTATCAGTAAAATAACTGAATCACTCAAGTGCAGAACTCGCGTAAATAAGGGCACTCCGAATAGATGTCCAGCCAAAGCCACCAAGGAGTTCACTGTTAGGAAGTAGCTGTATTCCAGCGGAGTCCATTGAAAAACGCTTTGAGTATATAAATATAAAACGTTGCTCTCGCCTAAAAACAACGACATTAGTTAAAAAAGTGCTAGAAGAAGGCTGATTAAAACTGCAACTCTTACAGCCCAGTACCATCAAATGCTGCTCGATATAGAAAAACCATTAGCACCAGAATCCAAATTAAAAATCTATCATTTTCCGCGCTTTTCTTCACAAGTAAGTTGAAGGTTTCTTTCGCGTGCTTGGGGTCAAACATATCAGCCAAAATACATCTTTCACTGGTCTTCGTTCTGTCCTTTCGTGTCTCCTTAATCCACAAGACCCCATACAGCAACGCTAGGAGATACAAAGATGTGGAAGTACCCAAAACACTCAGGTATCCAACTTTGACAAAAAATATCCCACTGAAAGACTGAACAAACGGCAATACTACACTGATCACAATTTGCACTATACCTAGACGCAAAGTTCGCATTTCAATTGTACTTATATCCGCTATATAAGCTGTGGTGGCCATCGCGAGCATGGTTTGCCCGCCGAAAAACGACGGAATCACTTTTTGCGAGATTCCCTGGGCCTCCAAAGGCAATTGCTTCTTGAATATCACGCACAGGATGCAACCTGAAAAGAGTCATTCTCATGTTTTTACTTAGTTTTGATTTTCCTCGTTCTCACCGACTAGTCCGCTTAATTCTCCAACTATCGGTACCAGGAAAAAGGGCTTTCGCCACTTATGCCTATCGCTAAAAGAGCCCAGAAATAGCACTAGAATTAGTGGACTGAAGCTCTGGAGCGGCTGTTGCCAGGAATGCATGCTGATGATTATCTTCTGGATTTCTTCGTTTTCACTAGAGTAATGGCTGTGATTACCATTTAGTATGGAATCACATACCGAGCTGTTGAAGTTCAAATTTACTCTGAAATATAACAGTTGCCATATTGGTATTTATACCCGTTTTAGAACGAAAAATATAGTGCGCGTTTTTCTATACTTAGTTTCAAAGTCCCAATTTTTCTCATATTTATTTATATTTCATACAAATATATACAGAGTGTGCCAAAGTTTAATTTGAATTGCTGATGCTTATTCCTCGCCTTTTGAGAATAGCAGCAACAATGTTACCGGTATGTCCGTGTAACACCAATTTTTTTAATTTATTAGTGTTTCAGTACAAAGCCCTTGCAAAAATTAACTAGAGCACATGCACTTTTTTACTCGTCAGTCTTCCGTCTTTTTCGTTCGCAAAATGCTATGAGGATGGATTCAACACAAACAACAACTACTGAAAACATTTCCACCCTTGACTCACCCAGTATAAATCAATGGCTTCGATTCACTCACCTGCAGGCTTTTTCAAATTCCAAATTATCGAGAGCTGGTTTTGATATGAACAGCGCCATTTGATAGAATGCAATAAGCGGTTCCACTGTTACGACTTTCTTAAGGCGTTTGATAGTGTCCTTAAACGTTTCTTGGGCATTTTTTTCGCTATCCGGATACATTATCGACTTCCAATTGGGCCAAACTGTTGAAATCGCCGATTATATTTAACATAACGGCATTTATCCATTCAATATGTTACTATAGAGTGGGCATATACCTGGAGGCTTGATCAAGCGGAAGACAATTGATGAAAAATTGAAGGCCAAGTTCAAGACGATGCGGTTGTTTTGCTAGTTTTCGAAGCTGTTTGGCAACTTTCTAGTAGTTTTCATGATTGTCTTTTAAATCGGTGATTTGGCACATGTTAGGTGGAACATTTTAGCAGTTAATAGGGAAAAATAGCAAAATCACTCGCACAAAAGTACCCGTTAACAATGCGGCGTTTTTACGATTGTAATAAAGATTCTTTCCATTGTTCTGCATTCTTACAAAATTAATAGCGCGACTCAACTGGTGACTTAAATGGGATGACTTGAGTTCAAACCGCGCAAAACAAGCAAAGGAAATGAATTGCCACAATCACTGATTCATTATTGCTATTGATAATTTAATACTAAAAAGTGCGTTATTTAGTTACCTGCATGTGAACCGCATCTTGATAATAAAATTTGCAGCAACATTATCATTTACCTGCCACTAATTTAAACTGTTATGACTGTACTGTTAGACCACAGGTTTAGTTGATTGGTTTATTTAGGTGTGTTAGTTCTCATATTGGCCGGTTCTTACCAGTAAAATCGAATATGGGACAACAGGCACACGAGAGAAAACTAGCTGGATTATTACGAGAGTGAACTGATTTAAATCGTCATCAATGGACGTTTTTTGGACGTTCTTATCCTATGTGTTGTGCTTGGCGAGACAATAATGCGTATGAAAACTGTGCCTAAGCAAAGACACGATCCCAATCCGTATTAATTGCCTGGTCATCAGGGGTTAAAGATTAATGTTATTTTGCATACGACCCAGATTTTAATATGTACAATTAACCGCAATAAATCAAATAAATCCCATAAAAGTGAAACTTTAAGTAAAGGAATATATTTACAAGTGTTACAATCTGTTTACATGTGCGTAACTTGAATGTCTTCCATTTGAATCGGCTTTTCAAAGACAGCGCCGTTGTTCTGCACCCCGTTGCTAGTGGTGGTACCATTGGTTGCCTTAGATTGCTTATTTTTTGCTTTATCTCGAATGTACATCCATCTGAAAATTAGTTAAACCGTTCTTGAATATTTGCTTTGTTACTGAACGTTTTACGAGTCCGATTTTCCAGGTCTTTCTAAGCAAAGTTTTCCATTTGTGTATTCATGTTTGTCTTTTTTACATAATTTTTAACTCACTGTTTTAAAACTGGGTGAATAAATCGAGGATCTTAGCCCGGGTTTCACTCTACATACTGTAGAAASACCAAAKAAATAGATTTAAARACAACAAAATACACACAAATCCCTGAGGAWGGAAGGCATTTACGGTGAATATTTGAAAAATTARAATCAYTTAACAAAGATCTGAAAGAAACTTGAAAYTTTTGAAAATTACTTTGTAGAAAATAAGAAAATCACAATTCACACCTGAAGACAGCAAACCCTATAGCGTGGAAGAATGTTTTTTTCACGAATGCAAGAGATCATTGAATCGTTTCTATCCGATAAACGATCAATAATTCAAGCCGATTTCAAGTCTTGCAAAAACGTTTGTTTTTTTTTTTAATTAACTTGCTGATCATTGAACATTGAACACGTTCTTTCGTCAACTTTTAAGAGGAAAACTCTTAGATGGAGCCCAAGAGATTCTTTTCCAAAATTGTTTGATCAACCACCTACAACTTTTGGACAGAGCGTCTCAAGAACTATCTCGAATATCGAAAATTTCAAACTTCTAAGGATATTTAGAAGGGTAAAATTTTAAACTCGCTGAAAAACCGCAACATTTAAATTTACAAACCACCTTTTGCTGAAAATTCTGGGCCATCTAGAATATGCATGCCCTCATCAAATAATTAACGTGGATGCAGAAAAAAAAGTTCAGATTAATTTGTGGAACTGGAAAAAATCGACTACAAAGACCTGGAAATATATACCAAAAAAATTTACTCTGTAGAAATGATAAATATCTTACATGATTATCAGGACATAGACAGCATAGACGATGGCACTAAAGTAGAAGAATGCAGACGGTAACGTTTCGTAGGTGTGACTATAGATTCCCACATTATATACAGGGGCTGCCACTGCTGGGCCGATCGCTTCGACTATCCCAAATAGAGACTGAGCCTTACCTAGATCGTTCTCAGATACGACTTTAGTCGCTAATGAGCGCAAAGATATTGAAGTAACGCCTGTTATCAAACTAACAGCGGCTCCTGCAAGATCAATGGAAACCTAGTTTAGGTAACTAATGTGCAGTTAGTTACTATTTCAACTTACCGACATACATCAGAACGCTGTCTTGGGCAATTCCGAAGAATATGTTGCACACAATTTTATCCAGAAACGATAGCAACAGTATGACCAAATCGTGCAGTTTGAGGAATTTTGTAAATAATGGCACTGCTATAATTGTTCCTTGAATAAAAACATAAATTTGMAWTAAAATYTTCKCGCTAAGATAAATATTCCTCATAAGTAGTCGTGATGATTTCATCAATTCCCTTTCTTTTAGCAAACACGTTATTAGCCGTTGATATATATGCAAATGTAAAAGTGCAGCTTTTATTGTGAATATACAGGGTGTTCCATCATATGCTTGTCACAGTTGAAGGAGTTTTGCTTCTTTSTGTGCTTTATTGCGTTAGTTGTTCCAAATGTTGTATACAGGGKGTTTTCTAGGACTTTTCATATTGAAAAACAGCTTAGTTTGGATCTACAGGRTRTCAGAGTTAATAGAATGCACAAATAAAGAGATTTTTTTGCKATRAAACGGGTTTTCAGATTTGTCAGTGGCACAGGAAGGTTTTTWGAAAAACTTTATTTAAAAAATKATGAAAAAAGCCACCTATTTTTCWTTAAAAAATATATTTTTTGCTTATTGCTCAATTTGGATGAGAAAAGGTCGTTTGGCTTTTTTTGGTATCACGCATAGTTTTGGAGTATAAAAAGTTTAGTACTGTAATCGCGTTTGAATGAATAGCTTTCAAACTACAATTTTTTTATAACAGCCTGTAGATGTTAGAAGATGTTTTTAGAATATCGAGAAAATCAGTGATTTTTTTWATAATGTAGGTATACTATAGAAATAAGAAAGATAGATAGAAATTCCAAATAAAGGAACCATTCCAATGCATAGACATACAAAACATCCTGTATATTCCAAAAAGTTATATGGATTTGAGGGTGAGTTAGTTATAACTCATCGCGTCTCACTACGCTGCACCTCGAATTGCGCTTGTGGCGCAATAATTTTTGAAATCAGAACTCTTAAAGGACATTTTTAATTAGTTGAAATTTCTTTGGTTTTTATGATCGTTCGAAAATTGATCAACAGTTTAATTTTTAGGTGATTTCTTTGCGGTTTTTTTGTTTAGTCAATATTTGTAGAAAAACAAAATTAATTCGGTTATTAATTTTAGTGTTGGCGTTGTGCATTAATCACTACAGCTGAGTGAAATTCAGACAAATATAAATGACCCTAAATTTAAAATTAAATTAGTGAAAGATCATCGCTTGGACCGTTTTTCGTTTAGTTGGCACGTGAAATTTGCCTTGGAAATATTGCAATGCGAACACGCACTTTCTACAAAAATGTGAAAAATAAACAAACTGAAATCGAACTGCCAAACAAGAGCAGAATAATGAATCATCGAAAGGGCCAACATGCGAATTATTAAATAATCATGTTTATTCTGTACTTCGGTGTATTTTTTTCGAAAAGGTTGATAAGTTTGCTACCGACAGTGGACGAGATCGGTCGATAATACTTTGTGTCGTGTGAATCGCGTTTATAGATGGCGAATATAGAAACATTGTAGCCCTTATGGCAAGTGCGGTAGTTTGTGAAAGTGTAGGGAAGTTTCCGAGCATTTATGGGTAGAAAATGGTGGATGGGGCGCCAGCTTGAAGAAAGCTGGTAAGAATGATCTGTGATCTATAAATCTTTTAACTTGAACTGAGTTTAGTTCGTAGTAGTAGTTTAGATATTTCTCTCTCTTTGCTTTGCTGGTTTCAAATAAGTTTGGCGTTCGACAGATTTTCTGCTGTATTAAACACATTTTCTTCTTTATTTCCAGGTGGCACTACGCAGCTTTCGGTAAGCTTAGCATGACTTTGCCCCTAGTTGCCATGTACATGTAGAATTTTTATTCTATAATAATCTTCTTAAATTTTGACGACATTAAGAGCGTACTCTTCTTTACTGAATGCACATCTCTGAAGTTGTAGACTATTTTTCGTTTCTGAGAAATTTGTTTTTGAAAAACTCAATTCAAAATGTGTCCCACAAGTTCTTTGAAATCCAGCGAAAGTTCACTTGACGATGAGTGAAATTCAAAATTTTCACGACATTTAGAGCACACTATTATTTACTGAACACACAACTCTGAACTTGTAGAGTATTTTTCGTTTAACTCATCGCGTCTCTCTGTGCCGCACTTTTAATTACGCTTAGCATTTAACCGAGGAACGGATTAAAGCTTTACGGGGCCCGTGCATGGAATTTCAACAAAACAAGAAAAAAAGTCACATTTTTTAGGACTAACATTTTACCAAATGGATCACTGCAACTCTGTGCCAACTCCTGAAAATTAACTGGGCTACCCATACCTAACTAATAACTAATATCGAATACTGAGCATTTGCCTAGCCAGGTTTATGTGAACACCCTGTACATATATAGAATCAAACAAATTTATACAGGGTGTCAATTATAGATTTTTTCCGCCTTAATGAACCGGTGTGCGTTGAGGTGAACTGTACTTTTCGCTGATTTTAACAAATTTCTTAATATGGACTTTTATACCAAGAGTTTTAAGAATTAAAGCTTTTGAAACGAAACTAGAAGAATTTTGCGGAGAAATTTTTAGTATACGTGCCCCGCCACTAAGTTTGCAGTTGCAGACAAAACAGTCCAAATAATAGTTTAAATATTTTCCGACTTAGTAACTATGAAATAAAAAAGCTTGTTGAGTGTCACTCTGTAGATTAAATAGCTTGAAGGACTGTCTATAATTTGTAAAAATAAACAATCATTAGACTAACTAGTTTGCTAAAGAACCGGTTTCCAGTTTTTAATCGTCGCAATTAAAGTGCCATTAGCGATAAACATTTTTCAGGAATTGCCATTTTCTTAGGACTTGTATGTAAACAAAGCTTCATTTTAAATTGCAGTTTTACCCTGTCTAGTAAGTAGGTACTTACCCACTAAATGGATGAGAGTGTTGGCGGTTAAGAACGAAGTATACTGCACAATACTCCAATTCAAAAACCCTCTGGTGTAGAGAAAAAACACACTGTCTTCCCCCACATTGACCAAAGTGTAGACAAACATCCCCAGCAGTAAGAGCACAATAAAAAGCCGATCGTTCCCAGGGCTTTTCTTCAGTATCAGCTTAAAAGTATCGATGGCGTGCCTTGTATCGAAAATATCCAGCAGGAAATTTTTCTTAGACTCCTTAATCGGTTTTTTCGGCTCTTTTATGCAGAAAAAACCGTAAATTATACCGCTTAAATATAGAAACCCGGCAATTATCAAAACTCCGATGTATCCAATTGAAGTGAACAGAACAGCGCTGAAGGATTGCACGGTTGGAACACATGCATTTATGACTATCTGAACTATGCCTACACGAAGTGTCCTCATTTCCAATGTACTAACATCGGCAATATATGCGAAAACTGCCATGGTAAGCATAGTTTGGCCGCCGAAGAAGGAAGGTACCACTGTTTGCACCACGCCTTGCACCTCTAGAGACCAAGTGTCCATAAGTAGCACTGAGATAATGCATCCAGCTACTGCAAAAAGCTCTCCTATCAATGGCAAGAGCAAAAAAGGCTTTCTCCATTGGTGCCGATCGCTGTAGGAGCCGAGGAAGAGCACCAGAATCAAAGGCATCACACTTTGAATGGGAAGCTGCCAAGAATGCACATCGCTGATCAGTAGCTGGATTTGCTCGGTTTCGTTCAAGTATATTGTATCATCGCTGTTTACAATGTTGTCGCAAACAGTCTCATTCAAGCCCAAATTGGCCCTGCAGGCTTTATCATATTCCAACACCAGCAAAGCAGGTTTTACCAAAATCGCGGACAAAACGTAGGAGGCAATCAATGGCTCGACCGTAATCACTTCCTTTACGTAAGAAATCCGCTCTCTGATAGTCTTTTTCTTTTTCGTTTTGTCCGCGGTCAAGTCCGCAATGGACTGAGTAACTAGATCAGTAGTAGATTCCATAGTTTAACACAACACAAATACCAAGAACTAAACAAACACCACTAGTAGACACGACCTAGACATAGTGCGACCACTCGACAGCGGCTCTTTCGAATCAGGAACTTAATTTTATTAGTAAATAAAGAATGGTAATTCAGTGAAGATTCTGGGAAAACCAGTTTGAAAGAGCGACCTTAGAAGAGGCTGGTGTAAAGGAATTCGTAAAAGGATATAAAAAATGTGCGGGTTCACGTTAGTTAACTGTCTGATGCATGAAATAATCCGCAATCCGATATACGGGTTTGTGGGACCATGAAAAAATTACGTAAACTGTTTTGTTTATCGTTTAAGAGATTGCAGATAAATTGTGGGCTTTTAAATCTCTTGCTTTTGAGTTGATCTCGCGAGATTAATTTCTTTATGCTCAATTTGCAATGTTTTGCGTTTGTTAGTTGCTACTAAAATGCTTTAAATTCGGTTATCGAAATTACAAAAATAATTTGTCCAGAGATTTATTTTAAAAATAATTGACACGTGGATTTGTTTGATATTGGAAGTTTTTTTTACGCAAAACCAGATGGTTTATACCCAATCAAAAATGGTTCATTTTTTCAAGAGTACTTAAACTAGACTTTCAAGACGTCCATTGATAAAACAAACCTGCAATTATAACGCAATTAAAAATACCGTTATAATATGGTGCTAAGCAAAGAAGCCAAAGAGAACATTTTATTTCGTTAATGTGAATTTTTCCAATAAATTTGAAAACATTTAATATTACCGCAACAGGAAAAAAAATCGGCGAAATAAAAAAAATGAGTAAATTACAGTGTGTTTCATTTAAAATAAGAAAGTTGATATGGCCACTGTTACATGACTCACCCTGTATACAAGTTTTGATTGAAAAAATGTCGATCGCCATTTAACGTGTTTAAAACCCCATTTATTACTATCGAATTTATTTCATTTGGCCGACACCATAAAAATTTTAATGCGAAGGATTCACTGTTTTGTTCTTTTTCAAGTCAATTTCTCATTAAAAATCACACAATACTTAATAAATCGAAAATTGCTTTCCTCGTTAAAAGTGAAACTATATGGAAGTAGCAACAGGCATAATTTTAATCAAGTTTTAAGTTTGAATTAATCATTTGCTAGTGTTCACCCCAAATTATTCAATAGCGATATTTCCTATTTTTAATGCCGCAAAATGTATTGGTGGAGGCATTTGAACCAAAATATTTGTATTTCTGAATTAACATTCCCGCATCGAAGTAAATGCATTTGTAAACCATGCCAATAGTAGAAATTTGATGGCATACAAATTTAATTAAAACATGTTTTAGCTACAATTCTTACAATGCCCAAATGATCATAGCAAAACATCAACTTATTTAGATCGCATGCTGCTTATACTTTATACTAGTTGGGCAAATAAACTCGCTCTTGATTTGAAATAATTTCGTTGTATACACTTTACAACAGAATTTTCAACAAAATTACATATTTTGATGTAAGATTTTAAACATGTCCCATATGTTTGTGATTAAATAAGCGGTTTGAAAATCAAACACGTTTCATTTCAAAATACTTCCCGTTGAACCAATTTATTAAGAAAAAATACAATCGGCATCAATACAAAATCTATGCATATAAATTTATAATAACCAAGAGAAATACAAGATTTTTTTTATTTATTTATGTCATCTCAGAGTTAACTCAAATCCATACTCATCGACTATTAACAACCAGTAAAAACGAATATATTTTTTGTTACAATAAATAATCCTAATAAAAATAATATTTACAAATTGCGCCCTTGCATTTGGGATGGTACTGAATTAAACAAGAATGTCTACTACCTCCACGTGTTGGTAAAAACTCCCACAAAACAGTCTCAAATACTTTTCAGAACAATCTCATCATGGATTTGGGTAGCAATTCTTGTTTTATTTCCATGAAAATGCAAATAACAATTATAACGAGTTAAAAACCAAGTTCAATTAACAGAATATAATACTTTAAAAACCTATAGTTGTATTCAAATACTAATTTTTTATTTGACTTCAAATCCCAAAATTTAGTTTGCTTATACAATACAATCATGACGGCTTAAGCCTGTATATATAGTGAGTTCATATTAAAAATATATATTTATATATTATCCTCTGGCATTCTGTTTAGTTCGAGTTTTAATGATGCTATATCTATCTATCTACAGTTCTTCAATTTTTTTCTGTGGAATTGTAAAACTGGCTTTACTCCGCCTTTTCATTGTCCCCGTAAAATTTAGGCTGAAAACCGAAACGTGAGTTAGAAAACCACATACATACAATTTTCATAGGCATGCCAAGAACAAACCACATGTTTGAACTACTTCAATAAACTGTTGCACTTCCTAACTAAAAGAAGCATTGCCGATAAAGTGATTCGAAATACAAACGCAAATTAATAAACACTCAAAAGTGTGTATGGTCTACTGCAAACTGAAGAGTCTGAAAATGTGTTTCACACTAACACCGACTTTAAGCAATAGTTTACGCGAAAATTCAAGCAATTTTCAAATCAACACCACTTACAAAGGTTGGGTCAGCAAGCATAGCCCAGACAATGGCTTTTGAACTATCAGAAGAAAATAATTATGGTTAGTAGTAGAAAATTACAGCTATTAAAATGAAAATATTAGTAATAACATAGTGGAAATTTGGTGCAGGGGGTTACAAACTAAAGGAAGAATAAAACATCGATCATTTCAATAAACGATTGCTTTTACTGGTTTGTCAATTATTACTGAACACAATTAAAATTATACGAAAATTTCAGCCAACATCACCTCACTTAATTGAGTATCTTCTACCTATTTCCACATTAAACCAGCGTTAGTCGTTACTGACCAATTATATAATTATAAAATATACTTTGTGCTTATAGGGATAAGAGTGGTGAAAAAAGTAATAAACGTATTATTATAGAAACATACATAAAGAGTGCTAAAAGGAGATTTTTAAATATGAGATAATATGCCTACTTACTAAGGAGATTGCAATTCCATTTATGACTATTTTAGGACTAGAAGCGATTTTTTTTAAATTAACTAAACTTGTAGTCCAATATCCAACAATTACAATATTTGTATTTTAATGTACTAAGCTTGATCTCAGTTCACTGTTCGAAAATCTCCATCATCAATTAACTCAAAAGATTCTGCAAATTTTCTCCATTCTGCACGTTATCAGTTAAATCAAAATCATCTTAAATCAAACCAAGTACATTTAAAACCAAGCAGTTCTCAAGAAACTATGTAATGAAAACTGTTTCAACATTTCCTACTAGCGTTGATAACAATTTGCAATCCCATCACAACCTACAGTAAATCAGTCACTTTTAATAGTTTATCTTAAATTTTCTAATTAAATTCATCATTTTCTTTTAAAACATCCCCCACATCCAGTGGTTTTCTCTGGTTTGTCATTCATATATCTACTACCCCATTGGTACCAAAGCGTCTTTTCGGTCATCATATACTGGAAAAAAATACTTTGTTATATATTTAAGCCAAGGCGGAGACAGACTGGAGCAATGCAAGAAAAAAGATAAACAAATAAATAAAAAAGCGCATTCAAGCAGTTTATTGCAAGAAAAAATTTCCTTTCCATGACAAAAGTATTTACAGTAAAATAATACTAAAAAACTACTTATTTAAAGGTCTATCTAACATGCACTATTAAAACTGCAGCTGTTTAAGCTAAAAAGAAAAGTCTTTCGTTCCATCATCCAAATAAAAAAACTATAATTTTCTGCAATAGAGCGTCGTTTTAAGGCCGAAAAAACGCTAAAACAGTACAACTGTAAAGTACAGAGAAGAATAGTTACTAACATTGTAAAACTACTTACCTCTCTCCAAACACCACTAATATGGATTAGTTAACACTTCACCAGAACTTTTAGAAGAGAATTATTAAGTCCGATTAAAAACTGTTACTGAAACGAAATTCACACTTTGCGGAATAATTAGCATTCTCATCTAAGCCTTGAAACCGATTGATCACAAACGTAATTTTGCAAAAATACTGCGTAAAATCTGGATTTTCATCAAATTAGCAGCTTCAAAACGTTGAGACTCACTTACCACATCATGTGCCATGTCTTGTCCTTTCTGTGCTTCGTCATCATCATCCGAATCTTCTTCTCCTGAAGAATCTTGATTATTGCCTGAAAGTAAAACTGAATTTAGTAAAGTGATAACCAATATGAAATTTTATTTAAAGGCTGACACAAATCTGCAATGCATAATAACAACATTTGTCATTGCTCATGTGTATGCAATGAATCATTAAAAGTCTAGATAAATGATTCATTAAATGAATAACGGAGATTATTTTCTTGATTTAGGAAATAAAAATCAAGCAAACATCCTTTGAAGAGATTAGAAAAGCTTTTACTTATTAGATTCTAAAATATTTATATAGAGCGGATTGATGCGCGATCTACTCTTCAGTGTTTGGTGGTATTTGTGGGAAATATTTGATGCGATTAGCCCATTAACAAATATTTACACTTACTTTTGTGAGCTGAATCAGCTAAATTATTGGCTTTGGCACCACTAAGGACATCGTAGCATCGCAGACACACTCGCAGAGGTTTTGAGCTCTGACTTGGAAGGAGGAATCGTTTATTTGAGCAGGGACCGCACACAACAGCTCCACACTTACGACAATGATGCTAAAACCCAAAAAAAATAAGAATAGACAGGATAAATTAAAATATTTTGAAACGCAGTTGGGGGTATTGACTATTAACTATAATTAACGCACCCTTCTATTTATCAAGGTAAATTGGGACTTTTCACAATGCATACAGACGTGGGCTTTGCCATCGGGAACCCAAACTGCAGCGTGTTCTGCTACAGCTTTTTTGCCACCTGTAAAATAAAACACATTTATTAATCGTTTTAACGTTAATCGTCAATGTCGGTTATTTTAAGGCAAAGACAATTATGTTTGCAACTTCCTCTACCCACGTAGCTCGTTGCAATTGCAAATTAGGTAAATGACCCACAGTTATGATAAGACACTTTCTCCAATCACGCTAATGAACGTTAATAGTTGGAGCCTAGCACAACAAAATGTCTAGGCTAGTTCCTTAATTGTTTTTCTAAACAGGAAGTTTCTTACTTTTCCTGAGAAGATCATCAATGCATTTATTGATATGGGCCATCCATTCCCCCTTTTCCACGGGCGTGGCCGCATAAACGGCGAACGATTTCGAAGCAGTCTTAATTAGCCATCCATGTTGATAACCACCTGAAAACCGCCCCCAAATTAATCGCAATTTTCATGGTTTCAAGCCCATCCAGTAAAACTTACGGGGATCATCTTCTATGCTTTCCAATTTTACTTCTTCCAATGGAATGATATGTTGTTTATTGTATTTTTTCTTATTGATAATGATATTGCCGTAAACCAGTATATCGTTAAACAGGTAGAACTGTCTGGTCTTGGGTTTTTTTCGACACATTTTCGTTAGGACACCTTCACCAACTAAAACTCGACCAGGAACAGCCAAAGGCTAAAAAATTAAACAGGATACATACAAATGGGCGAGTATTGGTTGTTTGTAGAATTTAAGAATCGAACCCTGAATATTAATAACTAATATTTCCCGATATAAATAAATACATGTTCGCTTTAATTTAAACTGCTTAACATAATGAACGTTCCAGAGCCAAATTTGCCCTAACTTTGGAACTGGATATATTCGGATTGGTTAGAGAGAAGCCTTATTGAGCCCCATTTGTTTTTTATTAATCAGTGTTTTGGCAAAAAATTTAGACAAAAATAAGTTTTTGGATCTCAAGAGTTTAAAAATAAAGCAAATAGCTCGAAACAGTTTTTTAATTTTTAAGCCATTTCTTCTATTTACAGGGTGGTCTCAAAAAATCAACTTTTTGGTCTTGCAGCGTTAAATGTTGAAGCTAAAACTTCATAGACATTTTAAGAAAATTACCCAACTCAAAATTGCCCCCGAAATCTGTGATTCTGAGTCTGACTGATTAAAAAGTTTATTTTTTTAAGACCACTATGTAAATAAAAGAGATGAGCGAAAAAGTCAAAAACTTTTTTAGAAATACGAGTTCATCTTAATGCATTTTTTGGGTTGAAATTCTAAAAAACGTTTTTTTTGTTAAACTGAGTGGATGTGGAACTTTCTCCAATTTTGGATTGTTTCATTTGCCATCCTGTAGAAAATTTATCTGCAGCACTAATTTTTCGCAAAAACACGCACTAACCGAAAACGAATCGCACTAAATAACGTTTCAAACAGAAATAGAATCGCTCGCAGCAATCAGGATTCATCCAGTTCCAAAGTTGTCAGTGTAACGTTGATTTTGTTCTGCTTGAGTTTAGTTTGTTTAAGTTTAAAAAATTCTGAAAAATCAATGCGGCAGTCAATTGATTTGAAATTTTCCATAGTTAACACAAACTGATTTTCCTATCAGCTTCCGGCTCGATGTATATCTGTCTGAATTTGGTAGTTGTGAAACTATGAACATTCTTGTGCTGAGACGTAATCAATATTCATTCATATAAGCCCTAACAGCATTTCGGCAAGGAATGTTCAAGTCCAGGACAAATAATAACATAATTTCCTAGTAATAAGCCTAATTAATTAAAATAATATACAGCCTGAAAACTTGCAAATCGCAAAAATGTGAAATAATTAGGACGTTCCTTAACGATAAAGTTTGACATTAAAAAAGAATTAGCAATGTATTGCTGGGAATCTTTACCAATTAGATAAAAGCTTTAATCTTGCATTTTGAAACCGCACTAACGTCATCTAGTCTTGTTGACAATTTTGCAGTTATCACTGGCCATGGGCATAAGATAAAACACGGCTAGTCTGTTTCGCTTAATCTAGTCGAGTTTACTTGGAGCTAATTGTTGAGCTAAAGCGATTACGCAAATATTAGACTATATTAATGTACGAATGATACCGTTGCTACTCAAGGGGGATTCCCTAGCTTAATTTAATGTTTCTTTGTTCCTTATTCACTTTTACTCCAGTGATAATATTTTTTTTTCAATTTACGAAACTGTATTGGATAAATTTTGGCAGCCAGTATTAGGAAATACACAATAGATTTTTAAATTATCATTTAACTACACATAACTTCTAAGGTAGGATGATAACAAACTAATATACTTGGGTATTTACTACCTCCATAAGTATTACTATTCAAGTTCCATAAATAGAATCGAATTTGAAATTAGTCAATTATCTACGGTAATAATTATGAAAACACACAGTTGGCACATAGCAGTAATTGGCAAAGAAGTATAACGTATGAGAACGTGCCTTTGGAAATAAAAAGAAGCCACTGCCACAAGCCACCATAATGTGATTACCCAAAATCATCAAGTACTACAAGAAATAATAAAATGGGGAATTGTGCAATGTTCATTTGAACTATTATCAATAGCAAAATTGTTATTAGAGTGGAGTTTGGATACGTTAAAAAACCAGCAACTTGTGGAGTTGTTAGGTATAATTCAGTTATTTCTACTTACTTGCCCAGAACTGCCAAAACAGCTCTCGACCATAGCAATACGCCTGGCATTAGCTTCACTATTAACTACAACAGACATAATAATTGTTTAACTTTCAAGGTAAAATCAAAGGCCTGCAGTCGACTGGAATCAGTGCTTCATCAAGAACTCTCTTTTGCGGTTTAATTAAATCAGATTTGGAAATCATATACTTTCATACCACTGAAAAACAATAGGGGATACTAAACAGACCATGAAAAACATTTATAACTATTTAACCTTATAAGGTAGATAGGCGGAATTGGGGATTTTGTAATGCACCGTCACAATGTCGATTGCTGTCTATCAGATTGTGGACATTATTAATTGAAATTAAGATTAGTCGATTAAAGTTTGGAAACTTACCTAACTTATCAACCATCGCAGTCGTTTTAAGCGATATTTAACGAAAAACAAAAACGCACAACACTCAACTAACCAATATTACGGATTGTGACATCTACACTGTCAAATAACTGGCACATCTTTGACGGATCAACCTGCTAGGCATGGGCGGCAATCCGAAATCAGTCAACTAGTTTGAATAAAATACACCTCTTATCCTTATCTAACTCACGTACTTATAGTGCTATGAGAACAAAATTTTTGACATCTTCCCTTACTTCTCTCGTCACCTGATTTTCGACAGATATACGTCAAAAAAGTCACGATCCTCAGACGAAAGTCAATAATCACATGACATTTATAGGTTGAATTTATTTTAGGACTTTAAAATACTAGCAAAAAATGGCAATTTGCGGGCCCAAACTGTCTCTGTGTGGTCTGATTATCAGTGCGTGGGGCATTATTCAGTTGGTAAGTTTAATGCACGTATTTTTTACCAGTATCAGTTGATTTTCCTGTCCAGGCCCTTATGGGGATTTTCTACTGGGTTGAAGCGGTTGCCCTAGCTGAAGATGTTCCTGAAGTGGAAAAATTCACGTCGTTGGAGGACTTTTACGCGCAGATGACCAATGGGTATCAACAGGTAAGTTGGTTGACTGAGAACACACCCAAATTACTTATTTCACGCATTTAAAACTAACAGAGCAATCAGTCAACGAAAGTTTTTCATACACCCCCTCATGTGATATTGTTTATTGCAGAACGCCTACAATTGCTGGATAGCAGCTCTATTATATCTGATCACTTTGGCTGTATCGGCCCATCAATTCTGGCTCAACAATAGGTCATCGTTGAGCGTATAAAACTCTTCCCCATCCCAAAAATCCAAACAAAAACAGTTCAGACTTGTTCAAGTAACATAAATCATCAACCTGCAACTTAACATCCACCAACTGTCAGTAGGAACAAAAAATATGGTGTAAATCTTCATTTGAAGCCCTTGGCTTCTTTGGTTACCACAGCCTAGAAACATCAAGTTGTGGAATTCTCTTAGATTTATTTAATGTGTAAAACAGTATTTTCAATTCTTCATTCCAAGATTAGGCACATAAGGTAAACAATTGTTATGTTAATATTAATTAGTTGATATATGTGGCATAGCACTCACCCTCCCTGTAAATGTTCGCTATGCTCGTAGTTTTGCTGTGCATATTTATTTCTTAAATCCCAAATTGTGCATTGTTAATTGTAAATAGAGGACATGCAATTGGTAGGTCTAGATAGTTCAATAAAACAAAATTATTTAAGTCAGCACTTTTTAATTGAATGCTATCTTTGGCAAATTCAATTGGAGGCGCATCATCTTAAAATTAACCACCAGGAATTAAAAATTATAATTTAGTACTGATGAATTTCCAACACAAACACATTGTTGGTTTTAAAACTAAGTCATAAAAACCATTCCAAGTGTTTTTTGAAAGGTTCGATGAACGACTTAGACGAAAATTAGAAAATGTTGAGGCTCAGATTGGTGCAAAGATATTAATCTGAGGTCTGTTATGGTCTTGAAAAAATAGCCCAGCTCGAAAATCATCTTTCTTCTCCAGGGCTAAAATATACCATATTCTATAAACAACCGTGCGGACGAGGTAATTTTTAAAATATAGGCTATGTAGATATGAAGACCAAATACTCTGGAGCAAAACGTGGAAATTGAAAAAAAAAACATTATTAGTTGAACTTAGTTTAACTCGTGTTTCTCCCTGGAAAAAAAACGTTATACTTTTTTTGATTTGTCCGGACTGTAATTTATCCTACTTGAAGAAGGAAATACGTTTACCCAAAGCTTGGCCATTGACTCAAAAGTTATGGGGCGGAAAATGGCATAATATGAATTTCCAATATTTGCAAAAAAATGCTGTCTTTAAAAACAAGAAATAAAAATTTAAAAAAAACCTAAAAATCGGACGCACTACAGATATCATTACACAAGAAATTAATATATGGACTAGAGAATCAGAATAATGTAAGATCATTGCAACCGAAACCATGTAAAAAAATAAACTTTGAATACATTTCAAATCGTTATTTATTCGTTACCATTATTTTAGGAAAATGTTAATATACCTTTCAGTACATTTTAAACAGTCGTCGTCAATTGCAAATTTGCAATAAATGTTGCTATTTCGTTCCTATCCACATTCAACCGTTCAATCAAATTTCATATAAAACAACATATTGATAAGACAAAAAAAAATGGCTAAAAAGTTAGATTATTACTGAGATCAGTCTAAATCTACCAGCTAAAGACAGCCAAATCTACCTCCTGAACGCAAGAATTTTCTATGAGAATCAATTTAAAAAAAAACAAAAATTGCATGTATAAAATACGACTTTATTTGGCTAAATTGTCTATAGGTAAAGTCGAAAACTTCACCAGAATACTTCTGTATCTCAAAATACGCTACGCTGAGCGGTTTTTATCACTATAAGTGTGTTCCAATAAGCAATTTCGAACTGAACAGTAAAACATTTACTGTAACCAGATGCACTGTTCAATAAAAAAAAATCACTGGTCAGATCGAAGTTGTTGTTAGAACAAAACCGCTTAAGTAAATTGGAAATAAAATCGAACATAAAATTGAAAAAATATGAAATATAAATATTTAATTTAAGTCAGCCTAGGACAACCTTAGCTTGAGGTTGCGCAAAAAAGGATAATTTCCTGCTATTAATCAGCAGTATCACATTTATTTACCAATTTGCGCCGAAAAAAGCACAATTGTCCCTTGTTGCATCCTCAATTTAATTGAACGATTTTACAATGCAAATTTTTCAGTTTTATACAGTACTCTAGGCACTGTAAACGGAAGTTTTTTTGTGAAAAACTTGCAAAATAGCAATAATCAATGATCTTAAAGTGAAATATTAATTAAAATAAAGTGATTTAATTCATTTGAATTGATCTTTATACTACAATTGGGTACGAGTAATGGCTGATTTACACTGACAGTAGTATTATGTACAAGATAATTTATTAACTTCCACTACGTTGTATTCTACTATTATAATAATTATTCTAAATTTCCTTTGGGAACACTGGCAAAACTAAGCCAGAAGTTAACTAAAAATAAATAAATATGTACATTTCAGTGAAGAGAAAGGGACATTCGTTTCCAGGATATATATTCGTTTCCATTTACAGAGCCAATTTCCGGAGCCTATTCTTTCTTTAGCAATACGAAACGGCTCAAATTGATCCAATTTTCAACCACATAATTTAATAATATATACACATTACAGTATTATATACAATAATACAGTATATTATTACAGAGTACATATTCCAACAAAAACTAGTCTGATCGTAAATTCGCATTAATCAGAAGAATCATTCCCACAGAGCGTGTACCATTTATCACGATCTCTCCTTAAAACTAGTGGTTTTGCTTTACTTGTGCTAGGTCCTGGATTTTCAACTTTTACCTCCCTGTTTGGAAAGAGCAATTATCAGTCTCAGCAAAAATGCTAAACAGTTTTTAAGTCTTCAATATAAAAATTAGTTTTATTATACGGTTTTTCGCCGTCGCAAAAAAATCCGTTACATAACTTTTGCCTCTTGTGCGATTTCCTTAATGTGTTGTAAATGTGTATGTGAAACTTTTGTAAATGTTCACCACCTCATACATTAACTGTTATTCATACTAAACTTTGCTTGCAAAGTTACCTTAAGGATTCCACCTATTCAATTTAGAAAAACGTTGCTGTTCTTGGAAAAACCTGATCTACTAAGGTGTAGTGTTTTATCAATGTGAAGAGTGAATGAGAATAAATGAACTTCTTGGTACGCACAGGTTTTTTTATACAGTTGTAAATCGATGAGTGACGCCAGGAGAAACTAATAGTAGCGCATAATTAAAAGCGAAAACGGCATTTTGTCTCTAGCTGACGTTACGAATAGTGACGACCGTGGAAGTCTATGTGAGAATCCGACTTTACATATGCATACAAAAACTAATCATTCGACAAGGCTTTGAAAAAAACCTTATCTAACTCAAGTTCTTTGTTAGATTAGCGGGTTAAATCTTTGAAAATAAACAATGTACTTACTTGATTTCACTTCGAACACTCGGTAGCTTATAAGGTTCAGTACTGCTACTGCTATCATCGGTCCCATAGTCCCTTGAATGTTGAGGACTGTTGTGGCCATTGCTGACAATTTTAATTTTTGTCTTTGACGTGGAAGGTTCGTAAGTATCTGAAAAATGCATTATTACAGTTAGAAAAACACTATGTGAGCAGGGATAAAAAAATAATAAAAATTACCAGCTAAATCACCTGATGTTTCTATCTGCACTGAAGTGTACTGACCATTGTTAGATAGCTCAACTGTCGATCTTGTTTTTGGGAGCCCGATGTGAAACCTATTGCTATTGGATGATGTACTAGGATACCTTAAAAAAATTGAGAAATATCGGTTTAGATACGATACGTAATTTTTGTCAGTTTTTTAACCTACCTGGAACAACTGGGTAAAGATAAATCCAAGCCCATCGGCTCCATTGAAGTGGAAGCCGACAGGTCGATTGGGTAGAGTTGGGAGGAGTTGCCTTCAGTCATTGAGTCTCTTTTCAACGTGTAACTTTCATGGCGTTTCCGTTTTCTGTCCTTTTTGCTTTTTTTGTGCTTGATTTCTTTCACGATGTCGATCAGTGGTTTGTTGTCATCCGTGTCTGATTCACTAGTGACCTCGACCTGCAGTAATTCGCAAGTTCTTAACTGAAAAATTACGTAAGTATGAAATAAACATACTTCCGTGCTACTATCCGAGAGCTTGAGAATTCGACGCCTTGCCAACTTATTCAGCAGCAATCTTTTCTTATATTTTTTATACGATTTATTTTTATGTTGTTCCTGAGATCCACTTTGTGAACTGTTGGACGAACTTGACCAGGAATGTCGTGTTTTATTCGTCCACCTATGCATAAAACTCCGACTTAAATTCGAGTTAAACATTTAACGTTGTATTCTACCTATAACGTTTCTCACTTAAGCACAAATGTTTATATCTAAGTTTAGGAGGAAGATTTGCCACAGACACTGGAGAAGGAGCTCGCGCTGTTACTTCTGGAGGTGGGCTACAATTTGGAGCGGGTAACGGCAAGGGAACCTAAAAATGGGGCACAATTAATTAATTTGTCTACATCAAAAAGCCAATTTTGGTACCAGTTGACCTGAAACCATGATGGGCTCGTCATCAGAATCAGAATTGCTTTCAATTAAATTAATTGTAACAGGTTCTGGAGTACGTGTTTCACCGATCAGCACGACATCACTATCTTCGTCACTAAAATCCGGCACTTCGACAGTATCATCTTCTAAAATGGGGGCTGGGGATTGCGGCCTACAATTTTACTTACATTTTCCTATTGTCCTCGTTAGCGTTGCTTAATAGCTTACCTTGATGAATACATTACATTGCGATCATAGCCGATCATATCAAATGGTGATCTCATAAAACTGTAAAACTCGTGGACAAACTGATCAGTTTTCGAATCCAAATACTCTCGCAGCAAATTCCGAAAGGCACGGCTACAAATATGATAACTAAGCAAACGCTCCATAATCAAGTCAACCAAATGCATAATTAGTTGAGTGTTTTCAAAAAGGATGGCATTTAATTCACGATTTAGCCATGGAACGAGGCGTTGTCTTGCTCCTGGATTATTTCTGTAATATACAAAGACAGTGTTGATTAACTAAGTGGATATTTCGTAAATTGAAAGCCGTTGGTGGTCGACTACTGTGTACCTAAAAAAAACTGGGGAACAATCCCTGTAGCGGCCAGTCAAATCGGGAAGTGCATCCACCCATAAATTTTGCGCATATAATGATCTTCGGAAACTAGTTGCAGAATAGTCCCTTCTATGTCTGGCAGAAAACCCGTGACTCCTGGAGCTAAAATCGAAAAATCTGATTAAAACCTTTAAGCAAATACTAATTATTTGTAATCTGGAAGCATAAGAGGGCATTGTTTAAGAAAAAAATCCAAACTGTCCTGCCCTCCTTTGCCTGCCAGAACCACTCAGAAGCTTAATTTAGTTAGTGGAGTTTAGCAGCATCGGATAAAATGTACAATCTCTGTCAGTGACTCACGTAGGAATCCCTGCGTTTACAGTTATCCGACCACCGGCAGTCAGGGGATGTGAAAGGAGCATTTGCTGGATTGCATGTTCTCCTCTGGAGTCCACAGTAAACGTAGTTCTAATAAACAAAATAAAGTAAATATAACAACGTGTGCAATTCCTGTCAGTTGTATGGGTAAATACGCTGGAAGTCATTGTACTCATATTCTTAATAAATCTTAACAAGGGTTGCTAGTTATATTTTTGTATTTTGAGTACTAATTAAAATAATTAATATATTGAGAAGTGATGGGATAGCGTCATCAAAATAAGCGAATTTTATCTCGAATTGGAAATTAGTGTATTCTTTTAAATATATGTATAGAACGAATTCGTTATCTGAAAGTAATATAGAAGTTATCACCTAGTGGTAATCTTAAGTATGGCGTATGATCCCTACTACTTGATATATAACTTATACGCTATATCCAAACCCCATCAACTGAGGAAAAATGCCCCAATTAAAGATTTTACAGAAACATCTAGAAGGAACTTAAAGAAGATCTAGAAACTAAATGTGAATTTGACTATAGACTACAAATCATACCTGACATGAAACTCATGCCTCTGTGGAGTGATTGGTACTGGCAAGAACCATACATCTTCAAGGCGCACTTCTTCATTTCTAGGTGTTTCAACAACATGTTCATCATAATCTTCATTTGACTTAACATTGTGAATTATGGATTTAAATGGCTGCTTGCACAAAGGACATTCTGCCTTGATCTGAAAAAGACAATTACAGTATGTTCCTATTGACTCATTGTTAGTTACAAATGAGAGATATGCACCTTGGACCATTCCAACAGACATCGGAAACAAAACTCGTGCAGACAAGAGTCTGAAAAACATTTGTTGGTACAATTTCCTAAGCAAATTGCGCAATTTGGAGGTGAAGCTGCCGAACTGGGCCTATTTATCGGTATTTTAATCTCCGACATTGTAACCAAATCAATAGGAAAACAGGCTGCTATTAAAGCAGAAAAATAAAAAACACCACACTACATTCTGAATCAGTTTTGACAGTGAAAATGTATTATTTTGACCTTGTTTTTGCAGAGTTTCACAGATATTTTAACTGTTTGTATAACTATTTGATCAACGATATTAAGTGAGTGGCAGCAAAAGGTAACAAATAAACGGGAATTTAACTAAAATCGACTGCAACAACTTAAAAGGACTCGACTAATGGAAGCACATTTGCTCATTAACGTCAAAAGTCAATCTGCCAGCTGCCTATGAAATCTGTTATGCCGCAGTACCAACGTAAGTGAACTTGTCACGTGATATGACGAAGTGTAATTTTTGCCTCTGGTAAAGAAATATACAAAAAATAGATATATTTTAAGCATCCCCTATTTGTTGCTTCATTTCCTCCATTCGTTATAATTTTTATTAATTCTCATATTCTAATATTATCAGTATGATTTTTATATTGACCCAATTTAAAGGACGAAAAGGTATCAGAGAGTGAGAATAGTAAACAATGCTAATTTATTCATTTATCGTCGAATTTGAAGTAAGTAAAATGCATTTGGAATGCTAAAAACGAACAAAATTATCACTCAGTGTCGCCAATATTTTCATGTCCGACCCCATGATCTCATCTACGAGTCAAAATCAATAGTTATCGATCGAGTAATACAGCAAAAAATTTGCTTGCAACCGACAGACAGATTTAAATATTTACAAGCTGCAGCACGGAACATCTTCCAGAAGGGGGGATCTTCTGTGAACTGAAGTTCTTTAAGTTAAGTTAAGAAGTTTAGTTGCAAAATTTCAAAATTAAATTGTTTCTGTAGTTTTGATGAGAACCACGAGTTTGTTAAGCAACATTGATAATTTTGGGTAAATGGTTTCTGTCAAACAATGCAGAAACATGTCAAATTCACATTTTGTCTTTTGCAAAGTGTTTGAAAGTTGACTTTTGAGGTTGACTTACAAATCTTGGAATGACGTCCAAACTGAGGACAATATTTTTAGGTGGAAGTTTGAATTATGGCTGAAGAATTTGAACTTGAGCAGGTAAGTTAACATTAACAACATTTTTCACCTCTTAAGAAACTAGTGTAGAAATAGGTGCTATAGATTGTAAATAAATTAGTGTATTTTAGGACAAACGCGTCTTATAACCTGTTAAACAGTTCTACAATGTTAGTCAGGGGCAAATAATGGAATTCCTAGTCTCTGATGTTGTAGCCTAAAAGAAGTCGACTCTTTTTCCTCTCTTACTACAATAAACGCGTAATATGTTGCTGTCGCAGTCATTTATATGTATAGTCGTATGCTCATAAGACAGAGACAGCTATACGTAGTTTCTAAACAACTTAACTATATGTACATACTACTAAAAATTCATTTAAGAGACAATAAAGAATGCAATTCGTACTTGCGCTAGCTTTGAAAATTAGGCGATAAGCAGTTTTTTTATGACTGGAGTGAAACGAAGCGTTTAAAAACTGGCGCGGACTCTTAACCAATCCAAACAGTTACTAGCATTTCTTGTTTGTTGGTCGCGCATCCTATTCGTCCATTCGCCATAAATCCCCACTCTGATCCATACTTAGTGCTCTGTAAGCGATGGCGTTTTTTCACTTTTTGTTCAGTATGCTGAAGAATTCGGTGTTAGGCGCATCTCAGCGTTGAATAAGTGTCAACACGGCTCTGTAGCGTTTTCGTGTGTGTTGTGGGACTTTCCTGTGGGAGTCCTACTCTATTGCTGGGATATGGGGGACTATTACCAAATGCACCAGGATCTTGACTTGTAAGTAGCCACCCTTTGGTATTACCCCACTAAAACGCTGCCGAGTTTATGGAATCCAACTTGACATGGAATTAGTGTTTTGTTTTCGTTTCTAAGGCTTCCTGATAAAACGCCAGTAGGGGTTGTTTCAGCCAAGGGACAAATGTTACAGGCATTCGCAGGTGGAATCAAATATGCAAAACCGTTTTCGTGCTATTTGCGTGTCGGTTTTAACGTGCCTCAACCATTAAGAGGTTAGACTTTTAATTGTGACGTAATCACGTTAGCTGTTGGACGAGGCCATCTTTTACCAATTAACGATATTAGTTAGGTGCAATGTGTATAATTTTGTAAACTAAGTGATTACATATGTTCAATTTAGGTTATTTCTATCAGCTATATGTAGTCAGTTTTAGTGGGAAAACAAGACAGTAGCTGTCGTTGTCAGTTGTTGTTTCTGAAAGTCATTAAACATCAGCGGCGGTTCGTCAGTGCATAGTTCATTCTTTCCGGATTTTAGATTTTGCAATTTTACCAAATATCGTAATGGTCTATCAAATGCAGCAGTTTGCTCACCTTATAGAAAGTCACATTACAAACAACTTTCTTCCTGTAGACTTTTCGAGAAAATGCCGTTTTCTACGACTTTTCTCCCACTTCCATAAGATAACAGAGGACGACATGACGTCTCCGGTGGCAGCTACGACGCACCGCCCGAAAAAATCGCGCGTTTGCCATATCTATCATTTGTTTTTTACTTTATTGTATTATTTATTTATTGTGTCTGCGGCACATTGATGCTTCTCTTCAGTAATGTTAACATGCTATCCTCCACCAGAACGGGGATTCACCGACAGTTTGACAAAATTTGGCGATTGCTATTTGTTTGCTACAAAAGTGAAAAAGGCTTAAAGTTCTTGCTTCAGCTTCATTAATTCAAATATATTTTTAGGCCGTTTTTAGCTAGAATTGAGGAAAACTTTTGCGCGAACTTTCCATAAGGATTATTTCAAGTCCTCGTCGCTTTTATAGCCACGCCTTACATTTTACATTATCAGTACTTTTTGTTATAACAAATAAACAATAGGTACAATAACATATTTTTGCCATTTTATTTGCCAGGAAAATCTCCAAGCAGAAAAACAAAGGAACGTCATAGTACCTAGAAGACTAAATTCGAAAAAGGAAAAATCGTAATTATTGAGAAAATCTGACGCTGCTTCATGCAAAATATATTTTGGAAAATTAGAGCGTTTCCCCAAAAAGTTGTTCCTTTTATCGTGATTGCTCTGCATAAACTAAGACTTTGACTATCTCTTAAGTACCATATTATTAATGTTGCACTGTTGCCAGAATAGTTTATTTAATTTAAGACATCGTTTTAATTGTATTTAACAAACAGCCGCAGAGCAAATTTTAGTCGCATTAGCTGTGATTAATCTTGTGTAAACCATCCGTTTTGTAAATCGCGCAATTCATTTTATTATTGGATTTATTGAGTTTTCAGCAAATGGTCGTCATTCTCTAGATTCCAATGTCCTCACTACGGTTTCTTGTACCAAAATATATAAAACTTGTACTTTTTAATTTTGTTTATTTCCAACAACCGTTTTAAAACCAATGGCAAAAACTCATCATTTATTCGGTCAGGATGCGACAACATAGCAACAATTTAAATATTATTTACACACTTTAGCTGCAGGCAGTAGAATTTCGGTTTGAATGATATCATCCAAAGCTTGAATGGAAGCAAATATTTAAATAAACACCGAATTTAAACTGGCCAATGAAATGGCGGCCCAGAAAACCAGATAGTTTGGTTTGTTATTTGCGATGTTTTTTGCGGACTTACGGCCACAAAATCGTTTATTACTAGGATTGGTAGGCCGGGCATTATGTTAACAAGCAATTATTATTAGTGTTGGGTAATAGGAGAACTCAAGTCAAGGTCGTGTAATTCGTTATTGTTTTTGCGTTTTTATTAAATCTATGGGTAATTTGGGATTTACCCAACCGAATTTTGTGATTGAAGATCGCAAGCAAGATATAATAAATCGATTTTCTCTCATGCTACTTGCTGAAGTTTACGGAAATACCTATTTTATTTCAACAATTTTCTGTAAATCCTGTATTTAAATTAATGGTGGCAACGATGCCGTATAAGTTCAAGAATATACTTGAAGCTCTAAGGGTCCTGTGCCTCGTATGAGTAGAAATAAAACTCAGATAGTGAACATTTAAGTAAGTATTGGCAACAATCGAATTAGTAATTCAATTTTCTATTTGGCAAAAAATATTTGGTCTCCATATTCGAGAAGAGAAAGAAGTGAAATAGGTTCTAATTAACATTCAAGAGAGACGTAAAATGAGACATGTCTTTGAGGCAAAGCAATTCGAATTGTAAACGAGAGGGAAGGATATAGAAGGTAAATAGGACTTTATTGATATGAAAGGAGACGCCATATAAGCCACTTTTGGCAGGAGAGTTCCATATTTGAGGGGAGGAATAATATAGGCGTTTCTTAATATCCAAGAGATGAAATACTAGATATGGCCTGGAGGCGAAGTAATCCGAATTACGGACTAGTGAAAATGCTAAATATAAAGGATATTAAGATAAATAATAAAAAGATAAATAGGACTTTGCTGATGTCAAAGAGAGATGTAATGCGAGACGCTTTCTAACACAAGTTTGTAGCAAACTTGCTTAATTGCAAAAGAGGAAGACGAGGCATGCTTTTAGCACAAAGTCGATTTTAAAAGAGAATATATATATATATATAGGTCGTCTTCCTCTTTTGCAATTAAGTAAGTTTGCTACAAACTTGTGTTAGAAAGCGTCTCGCATTACATCTCTCTTTGACATCAGCAAAGTCCTATTTATCTTTTTATTATTTATCTTAATATTCTTTATATTTAGCATTTTCACTAGTCCGTAATTCGGATTACTTCGCCTCCGGGCCATATCTAGTATTTCATCTCTTGGATATTAAAAAACGCCTATATTATTCCTCCCCTCAAATATGGAACTCTCCTGCCAAAAGTGGCTTATATGGCGTCTCCTTATATATATATATATATATACATAACATCGGATATACAGAAGACGAGAGACGTTTTATTAATAATATAAATTAATATGTATTCGAATAAATCACAAATTAGAATGAAATACATTGGAATGATTAATTAACTGAGAGTCCATGCAATTCAACATTCAGCAATTCTAATCGAATGAGAACTGAAAAAATATTTCTTTCTAACGTTTTGGAAGCACGAGTGACTTGCATCTTCAGAGGTATTTCGTTCTGAAGCTGCAAACCAAGCAGATATTTTGCTTCTTCGCATGTAGCAAAAGCTCTCGAAGTATAGCAGCCTTGTTTTAATTGAACTCGTAAAAGTAATCAGATTCTTTATCGTTTTAAAAAGTGTTGATATTTTGATTGAAAAATTGTCTATGAGGTTTGTGGCGGCAAATGTTAAACCAGCCAGATGCTGCCGACTAAACATACTTTGGGAAATGAATCCAAAACTGTATCAAGTCATGCTTTATCCTTGTGTGGTGTTTCGTGATTGTTCTATTCACTGTATTCAGCACGTTCCCTATGACCCATGACACAATAAACCCTAATTTCGGCAACATTGCCCATGGCCAATATTCGTAAGAAGACGGTATCACGATTTTTGAGACGTCTAGGGGGGTAACAAGGACCTTTGTGTCCCGTTCTGGGGCTCCCTACTTTCTTACATTAAAATTATTCTTGCAGCTGTCTTATGGCTTATGGTAACGCGTGCTGTCTGCGCTACGGCCTTCCGTGTGTTATTTGAAGGAATTCATTGATACTTTTTTTCCACCTTTTGTTCGACCCGGGGGAAGTCTTATTTTAGGGTGTTCACCTTTGATTGGTATCTTGGGACACCTCTTTTTCCAGTTCGGGATTTTGCTGGTTTGAATTTCGACCACTTTTGTCGTGATTTTGCATATTTCCTGTTCACTCATGAGCTGCTTCAGTCAGAAAATGGGTATTATTATGCCGACCTCCAGGACAGCCACGAGAAATTTAACCGAGGAGTGTAATTTCAAACCGATTTAATGATTATTCAGTCTTAGGGCTTCGACTTTCGACACCCACGTTGATTTCTGAAGATTTCAGCTACTGGTCAAATGGTGTAACAGGAAAAGCGGACAGGTTTAGATCGGGAGTTTATGCGGTCTAGTCGACAGGACATTAGGACGTCGCACCTTGTAATAATCACCAAAAAATTATCGCGAATCGCTCTGCCACCCTTTTTGGTGAGTTCGGCTTGGGGGTGTTTGAACAATGCGAGCACGGCAGCTGTCTGTCCTCCTGTTGCAAATTGAACATTGAACTATGTGCGGTCATTGCTTTGTAGGAAATGCACTCGAAATCGCGTGGGGGCAATAAAAATATCCATCTGCAAATTTTTCATGTTGGTCACAAGAATCGGTACTTATTCGAAGTACTCAGCGACTTTTACGGGTTCTACGTGTCGTCAACACTATGTAGACCTGTTTCGAGTTTTGCGTGGGTGTGGGTTTGTTTAGTACCATGTTGGTTCTGCTACTTGCTCTATTGTTATCGTCTTTCTGTAATGAAATTTCATAGATTTATGATCACGGTTCTCAAACTGCATTAATTCAACGGCCTTTCATACAGCTCATATTTTTTCAATTTCCTAGCAAAAAGTACCTAATCATTTTGTTTGCGAAAACAATCTTCTTTAAAACGGCATATTTATTCTATTTATGTATAAGTATGCCCATCTATTTATGTATAAGTATGCCCACAGGCGTTTATTTATGAGACATTTTAAATTCTAAGACACTCGCATTTCTAGTAAAGTTACTATTCAACTCCCGATGGATTGAGAGGAAACTATTGGAAAATGCAATTTTAACTAATATTCATGTACTTAATTCTTCTTGACGTTTTGAAAGCACGAGTGGCTTGCATCTTCAGAGGTGGTTTGGTCAGCGCATGCTGATGACAAGAGGTTGA